TCTATAACTCTTATAGAAAATAAAATTTCTATCACTGCTTAAAAAATATTTTCCTTACAATGATACCTTTTATATTAGTATAATAAATGTCATTCCATAACCATACTTTTCACAACTACATGGATATGTAAAAGTCAATGAACTGCTTATCCTATGAAAAATTCAAGACATAAGTAATTGATTGTAATCATATTCTCTTTAAAGTTTTAAGTCTTATGTTTTATGTATTATGAATAGTATCTTTGGTTTCAATTTTTTTCAAAAATTCCTCTCAGTATTTGCTGCTTAGAAAGAATACATCTCACATAATTTAACCTTTTCTTAACAATTTGATAGTATAAAGACCAACATCAGTATTGAACTAGAAAGCTCTTTAGACATTTCATAGTTCAGTTTTTCTTTTCCATAGAGTAGTCATAAATGATTGTTCTGTGTTAATTTAATGCATTTCCCCCCTGGTTACTCACTTAGTGTCAACTATTGCTGCTTTCAGCTGCCCCAGATCATCCTAATTTATGGGTTTGTAAAAAGGCTTCCAAGTCAGGTAGCTGAGTTTATTAATATTGCATTAAAATTATAGTAAAAAAGCTTTGTGAGAAGACCTGAGGGCCTTTCTGGTGTGTTGAATAAAAGAACTTTATCTTCTTTGTAGGAGCTTTTTGTGACAACTATTGTGTCAATTCAAAAAAAATTTATCAGTTAATTCTGCACTGTATTCAAGATAAATGAAGTTGCTAAATATTTGAATTATATATAATGGCAAAAGTCCTGCCATCTATAATTCCAAAGTAGAATGTGCAAGCATTAATTCCTATCATTCTTGTCCCCCAGATATTTATATTTGTCTCTAAAGAAACTCAGAATTGTGCTTTGATAGCATCTTGAGCACTTTTCCCCTGTTTTGTATTTTGAGAACCATCTGTTTACTTTTTCATGTATTTGTTTTGTATCTAATACCATCTAGTTTTGTTATTGATCTTGGAAAACAAATAATTTACAGATTATGGTAATGCAAATTAAAATGAACTAACATTTCTTCCTTCATGGTGCAGTAATTTACTACACATATAATTGCTTGAAGCAGGTGCCATGTATTTGCTCAAATTTCTGTGCTTAGAAGTCTGGGATGGCAGGTTTGGATGCTCTGCTCAAGACCTCAAGAATCAAGGTTCACTAGACTGTACTATGGAGCTCATTCAGGTTGTTGACATAATTCTTTCCTTGTGATTGAATTAAGGTGCTATTTTCTTGCTGGGGGTTAGGTAGGGATTGCTCTCACCTCCTTTCATCTTCAAACCTGCCAATACCAAGTTGAGTCCTGTTCAAACTCCAAAATTTTCTGATTTTATCTTTTATAACTAACTGGAGAAACAATTCCATATTTAAGGGGTTATATAATCAGGGCCACCCAGGTAATATACCTATCATAATATGTAAAAAAATATGTAAAAAATTAATTCCAAACAATATATATATCATAACTTTTATTGGTATTATGACTACTTTTTACAGAAAATGGTCATTTTAGGATCATTTATTCTAAGTCACACAACCAAAAAAATACAAAATTTTAGATTACTATAAATTCTAAAATATTAACCATACTATAACCATTAGCAGGCACATATTGATAATAAATGAATTTTGCAATATTTAAAATTACACATATGTGTAGTCTTACCAATAAAGTCTCAAAAATATATATCTAGTTTTATTTCATGTTCTTTACATACTGAGACTGAGTTTCCCCTTACAATTAAAAAATATTACATTGTTAGAATGCCATACCAGTTGCTTTATAGGTCATTTAATTATAATATATATTATACAAAATAATTTTATTACTATACAAAGTAATAACTCACAGAATGACAGCAAAATTCCCTTCTAAGAGACAATGTAGGCTTCAAAATGATTTAACAAGCTAGTCTAGAATTTAAGATTTAATGGCTCCTAATAATAGTCATCTAAGACTAGTCATAATATGTTTATGTTTTAATGGGCTTAAATATTATTATAAATTAGTTGCATACCTTCATTATTTGGAGATTTCAAATTACAAAAATCTAGATTTCTGCCTCTTCTTAATTAGTTGGATCAATTGGCAATACTAATCCAAAATTTCTAATGGGAATAAAACAAGGACAATTTTTACCTTTAGATAATGTGAGTGTTCTCCAGTTTACAGAAATTGTCAGCACTTCATTGGACACATATTTTATTTTATTTTTTATTTTTGAAAATTGTGAAAAGTTTCATTAATAATGAACACCAAAGTAACTATGTCCTAAAATATATCTTGCATGTTTTCTAAAGAAATTGCTTATCAAAATAATGGCCCACTCTTATTCATACTGTTGTTTTAATCTATCACAGTAGTTGTCTTTAAGAAACAACAAAGGCTAAAATTCTTCTGGAAATAATGAAGGGAATATATTTACCCTTACAAATAAAGAAAAATAACAACTTACAAAATAATAAAGTAAAAATAAGAATAATAAATAAATAATAAAGTTAGTAACTTTATATAAACAGATAATTAAGTAGATTGTTGAGATCATTTTTAAAAAACATTGTTACTAATGATTTTATCAAAAAAAGAAACATATGCTTCTTTGTCATTGTTAAAAGACAGATAAAATACTTAAAATACATGGTGACTGAATAAGATTATGATGAATTACATTGATTAGTACAATCTGCTCTAAAAGTAGAAATGATTCATTATCCCTATTATTATTGAACTTTTGGTAACTAAGCATAATTGAAGAGAGTAATGAAAATAGGCCTTTATTTCCAGGAAAATCAGGAATGGCTTCCCCCAAATGTCTATATTCTAATCTCTGGAATCTGTGAATATGTTAGATTATATAGCAAATGAGGATTAAATTTATGAAAGAAAAATTAAGATTGCTAATCAGGGACATTAGCATAAACATATTATATTTATCTGCATTAAGCTGTCAAATCAAGTTAGGGTGAGTTCAGTGTAATCACAATGGTCAGTGTCGGAAAAACACAGTGTTGCTGGCTTTAAGCATAGCAATAGGAATATAAACATCCAAAAGACAAGAAAGTGGTTTTTCCCAGAGACTTCTGAAAGAACAGAGCGCTGCCAACACTTAATTTTACTGTGTTTCAGATTCTGGCCTCCAGAACCATAAAATGATAAATTTGTGTTATTTATACCACTAAGTTTGAGATTTTGTTTTTACAGCAATCATATGGAATTAGTACAGATTCTAATTTGAAACATGAAGGCAGGAATAAGCTGCTATTTTCGCTGTAGCAACTTTTGAAAACTGAAGTTAGTAAAATCCCCTGTCATGTATTGAAATGTTAAGACATATTTATCTTACTTGGATAAGGCTTTGAAATCCACAACAAGTGCTCAATTTTCCCTTATGAAGAACAATTCCTTTGGTTATTCAGGAACCATTAACTTCACCCACTCACAACTGTTTCTACTGAGGTATATAACTGCATCTCAAATTCTCTATAGAGATTTTAAGCAATGTTTTGGAAATTCAGAGAACTATCAGGTGTTCACATGCTTCCTTGTTCATTCACACCCAAATAATACGAGTTTAATGAAGCTGGATGTATTAAAATTAGGTTATATTCTTTCTTTTGCCACCATTCTCAATAACTGCAAGAGGCAGGCTCTTGTATATTACTTCTTTATTTTTAATTAGGCATTCATAACATAGGAATACTGTTGAACTTTGAAAATTCAGATGGCCTTGAAATATTCAACAAATGTAATTCACCTTGGAGTTTTGATTTATACACAGTGGAATAAAATATTCTCTATAAGATAGAATAAATATGTTAAAATATTAAATAAACACATTTGTTTAAAATACTATGTAAATGATAATAAATACTATAATATAATTTATGAACATTATAATTTATTACTATTCTAAAGATAATAATTGCCTCATAATGCTTCAAACGTAGTTATATATGGAAATTAACTTCTATTTTTAGTTACATCAGAAAGCAGATTAAATTCATCTAATCCAGTATCTGTACTATTATAGTTATGATAGGTTTGAATAGAAATGAAGCATAAATTGTAAGTTTTACTTCAATTAGCAGAACTTCTGTTTCCAAGATGTTTATATTTGTTTTGTTCATTGCTTGTTATGTTCTAAAATATAAATGAGTCCCCAAAGGAATGTTTTCCCTAGATTTGCAACCTTGTATTACAAGTGAAACAGATCTTCAGTGTTTGAAGTAAAAGTACACAAAAATATGGATATATTTTGTAAGAGTGTTTAATCTTCAAAAAAAAAGAAGAAGTATTGTTGAATGTGTGTCTGCACAGTAAGACCAAATACTGAAGCACTATTATGATTAATAGCTGTATCATTTCATGTAAATACTTGTAAACTCATTCTTGGCAGACATTTTCAATGGGAATTGAATAACTAAACACATTAAAACAAGTCTCACCAGAAATTTAGCTTACTACTTTAATTTTTGTTTTATTAATCAGTTATCAAATTCACAAATTTATGTATAAAAATCTTTTAGATAAAGACGTTTTACTTTGAGATTATAACATGTTGGTAAGAAGAACATTTTATGTCACTAAATTTTATTAAGGTATTTTGCAGATCAATTTTAAAAACAGGTTAAAAAACATAATAAATAGTTGATTAAATATCTTACAATGGTAAACAGTGAGAGGTTTTAAAATCTACTGACAAAACTGTTATGCCTAACAATGTTTCTATTGAATCAATATTTTAACCTGAGAGCATTACATAATTCAAAGAAATTGAACATTTGTGACTATTTTGATCATTAGTGTCTGACAAGAAAATAAAGTAGTTGAGTTATTACTTTCTTTGTTTTTCTGCTGTTCTTTTCTTTAAGTAAAATGAATGTGACAACAGTTTTTTCACATCCTACTATGTACACTATCTTGGGGGCAGGCTTTATATTGGATTAGTAGCAATTCTTGATTATTTGATTTTATGTTTTATCAGGAGCTACAACCATAGAGAAATATGACCTCAGAACAAATTTGTGGATCCAGGCAGGGATGATGAATGGCCGGAGGTTGCAGTTTGGTGTGGCTGTTATTGATGACAAACTCTTTGTAATTGGAGGTCGAGATGGCTTAAAGACACTGAACACTGTTGAATGTTACAATCCCAAAACCAAGACCTGGACTGTCTTACCGCCAATGTCAACACATAGACACGGTCTAGGTAAGATCTCTTTATTGATATTACTATTGCAAACATGTTATTGATTTGGTAATGATATAAATCATTTTTACATTTATGCAAATTATAGGCTTATTTGAAGCACATTTTTCTTCTAAATTCTTGGCATTTTCCTGTTTTGATAAACGTGCACTAAACTATTGAGAGAGATGTTGAATTCACCAAAGACATCTAGACCTCAGACTGTCACTAAGGCTTTTTCAATCTGACTTTAATATATTTGATATAAAAATATAGTGAGGAATCGTATAGAGGCAAAGTTAGTACAGTCTAGAAGAAGAAATAGTTATTGCAAATTGAGTAAAGCTTAAGATGGCGTCTCCCATAGTGATAGATAACCAATTGTACTATTAATGGATTCCACCTTGATAAATCTGTGAGGAAAAGGGGAATACAGGTATAAAGAAACAGTGACATAACAGCTGGCACAATGAATCAGTATGATAAGATTCATCTGGTCTCTAATATGGAGTAATTTGTAAAGAGAACTATATTTGGATTCAGAAAATCCATGCATGAATCTTTAATTTACCAACTTATATATGCATGTATGGGGGCCAGCACTCAAAGTCAGTCTCAGTTACTGATAAGCCACCAATTCAAGTTTATTAAGTAATAACAATTAATAAAGATTTTGAAATCACTTTGTAAATTATAAAGTTCTATGCAATTAGAAAAAAAGAGAAATTTAATAAACATTAATGCTTGCTGAATTTGTACTTTGTATCATGGTGCTTGTAAGGAGAAGTGCAAATTACTATTTTCAAAGACTTGAAATATGCCAGGTAAATTACTGAATGGTTTTTTTTGTATGTTTAGAATATACATATTAAGGAGATGTCAGGGTTTAATTGTAAATAAACAGACTGAAATATTCAGAGGAAAAAATTGCAGAGCATTTCAAAAGCAACTATAAATAATATTCTGTACTGAAGTGTTCAACAATTTACTTCCAATTTGTATCTATTCTCTTTTGAATCTAAGCAAAATTAAATATATACATGTACATAGATAGATCAAAAATACCTGTGAACTAAAGAATCATTTTTAGTTCATATTAAGCTGGTTCATCTAAGTTTCTTTAGTATGCTCATAAGTAAAATCTAGGAATATTATTAAATGTCTGAGAATATTTTCAAAGTTCTAGACTTCTATTTTATATAAAAGTCTATTAATTATTTAAATATCAATGGGACTAACTAATTTGTAATATGGATAAGAGCATCAATCCCAAATTATTTTTCCCCAGCTAATAATCATAATATGAAAAAGCATCTTCTGGGACATACTTTTCTCTAAGTATAATTATAAATTGAAAGATTTGGGATTTAAAAAAAAACTATATATGTTGTTTTTAGTAGCCAGCTAACTAACTACTTATGTTTCTGTGTTAGAGAAATATAGAGAATAAGTACTCAGGATTAGAAGCATTAGAATGAAATATCTTCTTCCCCCTTTTTGTTTCCATCATTCAATTTCTTTCTATTAATATAGGATAAAAACTAATTGCATGCCAACAAAACATATTCAATCATTTTGACCAGAATATACTTTCAGTGGTATAGTTTCAGATGTAAAAGTATGGAGGATTAGGGTTTGCTTCAAATCCTATCACCCGGATTGCTGACTCTTGAGACCTCAATGCTGCGCAGGATGGCAAAGATGATTCTCTTGAACAGACTCTGGTAATGTGTCGAATTAAGAATCCAGTGAAAAGATGCATAGTTTTCTGTGAGGCTGCACAGAAAACTATGAAGCAAGTACCATAGACAGCTGAAGTGTAATGCCATGTTTCCCACAGGTTTTAGAGACCCAATTAAAACTCTAGTAGTCCAATATTTTCATGTCTAAGCCTTTCTTCTGTTTTGCTGTTGTTTCCATTTCATTTCCATTACCTGGATCATGTTGCCACTCTTTCATGTCGATGGTTTTCTCTGCTTTACTTGTTACTGGTTGTTAATTCTTGACATTTTTAAAAAATTTTTATACATTTATTTTATTTATTTATTTTTATGTGGTGTTGAGGATCGAACCCAGGGCCTCGTAAGTATGAGGCGAGCGCTCTACTGCTGAGCCACAACCTCTGCCATTTTTTTAATAGTATCCTGCATTACTCTGAAGATCTACACTGATTAGGTTAGTAATAAAATCATAACACAGAGCATATTTCTGAGCACAGTTCTCATCTCAAAATGTGTCAATGGCTTACAAATCCCAGTATGTACAAAACTGCCTTTGATTAGATAGTAATCCAAGTTCCAGTCAGTTGGAACCAGACTGAGAGAGGAATCCAAAACACACATCTGTGTGTTCTGTGTCCTCTCCTGTGGAAGAGTGCTTGCTCTATGAACATTCATATTCTTTTTTAATCATCTGAGTCACAACTACTTCAACATTACATGTCATACTCATGTAAATAAAAATCCTTGGCCTCAGATTCCTGATCCTCCTATATCAGGTGAGTCTGCTTTACCTTTTTATGTCTTCCAGGGACTTTTAACTCATCAATGTTGATATTTAATCCATCATGTCTTTTAAATTCTATTTAATCAGTTCTCTTTATTCCTTCCTGATGGATAAACTTAATATCCAGTCTTCAAAAACATGCTCAGTATCCATACATCATAATACTTACACCATGTATCAACATCTTAATGTGAGTTAATTATAGTGTACATTGTAATAAGTCCTACTCAGAAATTCATCATAATCACTAATTGTATTAATATCCTCCTTATCTCTATATGGTTATTTGGTTGTTTATTATTCCCATTTCAAATTCTTATCTACCTAATTAACTCTTTTTTATTCATTATAGGTGATTACCTTCCTTCTCCTCTGCTTCTTCCAACTTTCCTTCACCTTTTTGTCCTTTTGTCTGCTTTCTCTCATTATTCCTTCTACTCCTATTTACTCTCCTTCTTTTCTTTCCTACTTTTTCTCCTCATTCTTTTCATCATGTTCTTCTTCCTCCTCTCTCCAAATTTCTTCTTTTTTTTATCTTTCTCTTCTAATTTTGTTTCATAGCAGTTGTGGCCAATTAAGTATGTGATTTTATTTCTGAACACTCATGAAGACACATTAGATACTCTGGATAATTGTATGCAGGGCTAATGTATATGATATTCTCTGTGCCTTATTAAAATAATCAAGAATGTATGAGGCTTGGAGCCCTAAATGCGCAAGCTGACTTTACCCAAATTATCTGCTATTTTCCTGAAAAATGAACCCTCAGAGGCACATCTATGTTTACTTCAGTTTGTACAAGAATCCTCCTTTGCTTTTGTTTACCTTTTCTTTAGCTTTTCCTTGTATATAATGCCCTGACTTTAAAACTGCCAACTGACCCCAGAAGTCAATATCCAGGTCTGCCAGTCAGCTGTTATTAATATATCCTCATCCAAGGTGGGCTCTCATGTCATCCTCATGTTCTGGCAAGCCCATTCTGGAAAATCTACACAGGCACTAATGTTTCATTGCCTAGCAGTATAGCTATGCCACAACTCTTCTTAACAGAGCAATATGAGGTAGTAAAAGGAGCACAAGTCCAGTTTTCCTTCCTGATATCCACCTGACTGAGTCAGTGCCCTAAGTTTCCACATCATGAAACTGAAGTGACTTCTGTTTTCCTGGTTATTTTTACAGACTTGGTGTTAGTTTCTCAAACAGGGCATAGATTTTCCCTTTAGTGTAGTTATCTAATAGATTGGATTTGAGTGTAAACCAACCACAGGTACTCATTTTCTATGTATTCAGAATGACCCATTTTATTTTCCACATAATTATGTGGAATGCCTTGGAATTATAAGTTTCAATACATAATACCATAATGTACATTCAAATAATAAAGAGCTAGAATCTAAAGTAATTTTTTTAAAAAACAAAAAAGAATAAATAAAGCTAAGCACAGTGGTGCATGCCTGATTATCCAGAGGGGCAGAAGTAGGAAGATTATATGCTGTCAGGATTTCAGGAGTTCCAGATTAGCCTGGACAACACAGCAAGATCTTGTCTCAAGCGGAAAAAAAAAAAAAAACAAAACTTGAAGTATTTTAACCCAAGAAAGCTTTATTTTCCCTTTGATTTCTGTTAAAAAAAAAAGGAAAGAAAGAAAATGCTTGTATTTTTATGAAAAAATCACAAGTGATTTAATTGCTAAAGATGATTATGTAGTTAAAATGTTTCACAGCTGTCAATAAATTAAGAAACTTGCTTGATGAAACAGTATACTAAAATTCTGAGCATATTAAGTCTGTCATACCAAGGAAGCCATGTGTCTGCCTGGAGAATTAAACTAATTAAGACCTCAGTTCTCCCAATTTTCCACAAGTCTTTTATTTTATCATTTATATTTTTAAAACACATGATTTATAAATTATAATGATATTTATAAATTTTCCCCACATTTTATAATGTATAAAGTTGAAACAGACATTATTATCACTGTATGTTTATATGTGACTGCATAACCAATGTGATTCTACAACCTGTATACTTAGAAAAATGAGAAATTCTAACCCATCTGATTCAAATATATGATATGTCAATATCATTGTACGGTCATGTTTAACTGAGTAAAACAAACAAAAATAAGAATAACACATTACAAGACAAAGTGCATTGAATTCTATTATGGAAAAATTGATAAACAATAATATAACGACTGGGGTTTTTGTTTTTGTTTTTGGTACCAGGCATTGAACTCAGGGGCACATAGCTCCAGCCCTATTTTGTATTTTATTTAGAGAGGGAGTCTCACTGAGGGACTTAGCACTTCACCTTTGTTGAGGCTGGCTTTGAACTTGGGATCCTCCTGTCTCAGCCTCCCGAGAGGCTGAATTACAGGCCTGCACCATTGCACCTGACAAGTAATGTAACAATTGTTTATTTTGGAGTTTTGACATTCCAGACACCATGCTGTATGGGAAATGTATGGCAAGGATTATTTTATCTTGATAGTTTGTTTTCAATTTCATTACAAT